ACGTTATCAACTATTGGAAATATACGAATCAACGTTCGTTAAACACCAATACCTGATCGTATTCAACCATTGAAATATAAAATTCCTTATCAAAATAGAAACAGACACTTTTTTTATCAATGATCTCATATCCAAGAAATAAATGATTATAATGAATACGATTTTGGATTTCTTTATATGACAATTTTGAGCTAGAGAATCTCGGTATTGATATACCAGGTGGCGGTAATGGAAAGTGTTGTAATCGAGTTCGTTCATCAAAAAGTTTTAATTTGTAACCTTCAAATTTTGGATTTAACAATAAACGCTTTGGTTTTAAAGTTACAATGTGCGGTTGAGTCGGCATCTTGTACTATAAAAATCGATAATTTTAAAACATGAACATCAGTTATATCAAACTATTTAAACTATTTGTAATCATGATTCATCGTGACAGATGGACATGTGTTAATCATGTTTAAGTTAAAAAATTATAGGTGGTGATAATGCATATATTTTATTTTCAATTTATTGCACAGTTCCGAGGCAAGAAAATTCAACTACCGACAATCTACCTAAGGATAACTCAAGAAAAACTTTATTTGATGTTTCTTTACTGAAAATGTCATTAGAACATCCATATTGTATTCAGACACTACATACCCTTCGTGGGGTCGAAACACCCCTTTATTATAATATTGACATTCATGGAGATGGGTATGTGATAGGTAGTAACGTAGAATACGACATTATTAAAAGGTCATCTGATCAAGAACTTAAAGTAGATGAATTAGACAAATCAGATAACATAGTACGATCAACACAGGACGTCGAAATGAAAGAGACAAAATCTGACAATGATGATAAAGTAGTCCCATATATTTGGACGCAAACTTCAACTGATCTTACAATTTGCTTTCAATTGCCACCTGGTACACCTAAAACAGCAGTCCATTGCAATTTTACCAAGACACATCTTTCTCTCACTATTGATATTGACTCTAATACAAACAACACAAATTTATTTCCCCAGTCGCCTATACCTTGCTACGCTTTTACGCATCTATTTGATCTAATTGATCCGAGTTCTTCTCTGTGGACAATTGAACCAAAAATTGGATTATTGACACTTCACCTTGAAAAGCACCATCATAATACACGTTGGTCACACGTTTTCCAACAAGATGATGGGGTTTTCGAAACAATTGATCCCAATGAGTTTGCAGAATTTCGGGAACGTTTAGAAAAATATACTGCAGAGCTTAATGATTCTAAAGTCGGACATCAAGGCATATTAGATGCTTTGAAACATCCCATTGGCCACGAGATGGAAGAGTCTATTGATTTCGGGAATCAATCAGCTACTTTTATGTGGGTTGATGATGATGGAAAAATAAGAGCTAAAACTAGTGCTGGAGGGCATGAATTTATTTCTCGACAATTTGAAAAATTTGACAAGCAAGAATTAATAAGTGATGTCTCACAAATGCCATCTGTATGTTTAAGATTAGATGTGGATGGACTAGTGTATACGATTTCACATCCGTCCAAGCTATTGGATCCTAATTCGCTACCATTAATAATGGATCATTCGACAACTTTTAATGCATTTGCCTTTGTTCAAGCATCTAAACGAGAAAAAAATTTCATGTTTCATGACCCTGATAATCGTTTCGTGATGATTCTAGAAGGAAAACATCATGCGTACGTATATTGGCGTAATGAAGATCGTACAAAGTATGATGATCAATTTGTAGTGGATTTTTCGGAAAAAATCAAAAAGGATACGGATATAATTGGAGTTCAAATGGTAGCAATTAAGGAAGCAGTGATCATGGTTCTTGTTCCCGATTCAGTAATTATAATAAAATTGCTGTAAGTTATCTAAGGAAATCTTAACTAGAAAAATGCCTTGTAAGGATAATACTTTTAACACTATACAAGAAACCAAAAGTTGTATAAAAATATAGCAATAGCTAGCATACCAATTCGAAGTTTTCAAGCAATTGATAATACAATCCAATATTGTAAAATCAAACTGGATGCACAACAAATAAAGTATTTGTATAATAAAAAAAATGTGATTTAAAAGACGTGTAAGAAAAAAAAGGAAAAAAATTATTTTGATTTAGAAAGATTTTTAAATTTTTAAAAAAATAAATATTAAATATTGTATATAAGTTGTAATAAAATAGTTTATAGTTAATATATAGGCTTTTATAAATATACAATAGATGTAGTATATAATGTAGTATATAATTTGTATTAGTAAATTAGATTAATTTTATATTAATATAGGTTTAAATATACAAAGTAGTACAATAAATTAAATATTGATTAAAATACAGTATAAATAGTATAATATGCTGATATGTATTACAATTATTATAAAATGCATCTATGGTGTTTAAGTTTTTTTTACTAAAATTTAGAATTAGAATGCAGCTGCAGGGTAAGATAGAGGTTAGATATAAAGGTCCAAATGTTAGTATAAGGTTTTTGGGAGTCCTAAACATTTTTACTTAGTACTTCTGAGGTGTGCCAGTTAATATATTTTTAAGAAATTATGGTATTCAACACCAATGGTGCATTTTAGTAAACCCGTATATATTACAAGCCAAATTTTTTTTTTTTACGATATATGGGGTCTGTGCCTTGAAAATGACCTTACGGGACTATGTAGATTTTATAAAATTTCTAGCTATTCAGTAATTCAATTCAAATAAAATTTTTTTTTTATTTTGTAGAACTCATTAAGCTCTACAAAATAAAAAAATTTATGTAAATTGGATTACTGGATAGCTAGAAATTTTAATTTTTTATTCATAAAATCTATATAACCCGTAAGGTCATTTTCAAGGCGCAGACTAGTGATACGAATCGAAACAAATATTGTAATCGATTAGTTGGTTGAAAATTTTTAAAAAATCGATTACAAATCGATTATTGCTAACTAATCGATTAATCGATTAATCGATTAGTTGGTTAATCGAT